AAATCCGGAAGTCGGATAACGGTCGAGGCCTTGCTGCCGGCTCCCGGAAACAAATCGGCATGGGAAACGATTTGAATTATATTCTCGTACACAACTCGTCCTTTGTTATTCAGTTCGGATATCGGAGGGATTAAGGTCGCAATCTCGGCAGTTTTGAGCTTTTCAACATGGTCGGCGCGACACTTTCTCTCGAGGGAGGTGGGAAGGGGAATAACTCTAGCGAAAAGAAAATCCGTAGGAAAATATGCCGAGTGATTATCGGGGCATACTTTCAAAAGGGTCATATAGAACTGAACGGATTTAAACACTATCTTGTTACAAAAAAAAATTTAAGTCTTATGTAACATAACATATTATAATACTTTTACGAGTGCATTTCCATTTCGAAACGTTGGGAAAAGAAACTATCCTGAGATCTCGTACGCTCTATTGTCAAAGGACGTTTCTCATCCAGGACCTGACGCTTTGATGCTGGTGTCTAACTACAGCTACCGTTATAATTTAAAAATAGAAAATTACTTTCATTTGCTTAATTGTGCGTCATATACTATGTCACAATAGTTGGTAAGATCTGAAGAAATAATTGTTGTAAATATCTTTATTCACCTCGCAAATAATTGGCAACTTAGTTGTCATTGGCTATACATACATACATTATATATTACACTCTGGGGAAAAAATTAAAAAACTCTATTTTCTATTGTGATATGAATAAACAATTCTATGTATGAATACCTAGTTTATTCAATAAATTATATAAATCAATATAAATACATATACAACGAACATAAACACAAATACAATATACATGCATATACAGGGTGTTCGGCTACTCGTGTTACAAACTTTGCCAGTAGATTCTAAATTCAAAATGGAACCAAACAGTTCTAATTAACTATGGTCCGAATCCCAACAGTTTCGGGGCGATTTCACTTTTTCTGATTTGTTAAGATTTCACGCCCTTGCTTCAATTAAACAATGATAATTCCAAAATTAAAAGGTTTTTGTCAAATCCGTTGAGGCCATTGATAAGTGCGTTAAATTTCCAATAAGATGTGATCAATACTAAACTTGTAAACTTGAAGTAAGCGTTTTGGTAGCCAGAACTTTGAAAAGTTTTTTTTTTCAAAATTGAAAAATTTACTATGGTCATCTAAACAATTATTTCCAAACCTAGAGACCAGCAAATTTCAGAAAAGTATGTACTCCATTTAATATCCTTTTTTTGAGGTGCAGATGCTTTTTAATTACTTTTTTCAAAGATGAAGAAATGGATCAAGGAAAAGAAAACACCGTGATTGAAGGATTGGTAATTCCTGCAAAAAGCAATGCACCACTAAAAAGGATATTAAGTTAAGCATAGTAAGTTTTTCAACTTGGAAAAAAATAATTTTCAATGTTCTCGCTACTAAAACGCTTATTTCACGAAGGTTTACAAGTTTACCATTAATCACATCTTACTGGAAATTTAATGTGTTTTTCAATGGTCTCAACGGATTTGTCCAAAATCGTTTAGTTTTGCAGTTATCATTGTTTATTTGAAGCAAGGTCGTGAAATCTTAAAAAATTAGAAAAAGTGAAATAACTCCGAAACTGTTGAGATTCGGACCGTAGTTAATTAGAAACTTTTGGTCCCATTTTGAACGTAGAATCTACTGGCAAAGTTAGTAACACGAGTATCCGAACACCCTGTATACATGCAAGCACATATACTATATTTATATCAAAACCTAGACTAAATAGGTAATAATAAATACGTACATCAATATACGAATAATTAAAATAATAAAATAAATAATGTACAAACAAATAAAATAAATAAACTAATTAATTGAATAACTAAATTAGGCGTTAACATATTTGAGCCTCGCATTGAGGTCCCATAGGGTTTTGTGTTTGGCTCTGGGTGCACGTTTTTGTCCAATATCTTGAACTAATCGTACGGCGCTCCCAGGCGCAAAACATTTTTGACAATTGGTATCTATGAACTGGTGTAGAAATTACACTCCTGAGTTTGTGTGGAGTACATCTGTATTGATTGCTAAAGGGCTGTTAGTGGATAACCATAGGAACTTTTGAGTTCTTTGAAGCTTGTTTTTTATAATTGGTGTGACAAGTTAAACCGTAAGCAGAGAATGTATGGCTCAACATTGGCCTTACTATGGTTTTTTTAGATGAGCAACTTTTATGAACGCTCAACTGGGACTCTCGAAACAAGAGTGGAAAAAGTATTTTTACATGTTTTTTCCCTTTTTGAATTAATTCACTCATATAGACTGAAAACGTTAACTTAGCATCTAGCCGAACGCCGAGGTACCTTATTAAGGTAGACTAGTTAATATATTCACCATTAAGGTGAACTTTAAGGTATACAGTTGGACGTCTTTTCGTGAAGAATATGGCTTCAGACTTACTCCTGTTCACATTTATTTTTCACCTCGTACAGTACCCGACAGTCCTCTCCACTGCACTGCTCAATCGGTTCACTATGGCACTCACACTCCATGATGAGTGTAGAGCGCAGAAGAAATACATATTCGTACTATGTTATTTACAGAAAAAGAAAAACTTTAGTATTTAGGTTACTAATTGGTTTTCCCATTTTTGCGTGGGAACCAACCTGCAACATATACTGATTGTGCTATTAATTGTTCATTTGATTATTTCTGTATAAATTGAAAATAACAAAAGTTAATTTCTTCTAAGTAGTCTAGTAGTTCTAGTAAATGTGGTCACAAGGCCTTCTGTACCTCGATCTGGGTAGATCTATTGTGCTCTTTTATTTTTATAACTCCCTGGCTAGCTTCAGGTTGTTAATCAACCTCCATAACTTTTCCAGCGGTTTCTTAGTATAGAATCTTGAGGCTTTTTCTCTCCTAGTTGCAAGAATCTACACCTACATAGATCCTCACGAAATGTAAAACGTGTTCTGCAGTGTCTTCTTCTTCCTGGCAGTATCACAGTGTTTCTTCTATCTGTACTCCAACGGGTGCCTTCTTAGGTGGCAGTGTCCTGTCATAAGTCCTACCAGAATTCTGCCCTTATTGTGGTTACCTGCCAGTATTATCTTTGTAAGCAGCGGATAGCTCTTCTACGAATCTCTTCGTGCACCTCATGCCTGGGGTATTGTTCCACCCGATTTTGGACTCACTTAGGTTCCACAATAGTGTTCGGGGCCTAGAGGCTAACATGTCCACCTCTATGACCCGAATGCCAGGGTCAGGTCATTGGTGTCATTGACTTCTGACAGGGATTCTATACGCTCCTGGCCTTTACCTCGCATCTAAGGACTTAAGTGCCGCCTGACTGTCAGAGAAAATAGCTTTCTTCCTAAAATATGTTCCTAGCCGTTTTATTTCTCTGGCGCAGTGTTAATTCCTGATTTCAGATTGGAAAACTGTAGCGAACATATAACGATTGTGCTAATAATTGCTCATTTGGTTATATAATTTGATTATTTATGTCTAAGTTAAAAATTACAGACGTTTTGTTATGTTTTTAATGCCTGTTAGTCTTGGGAGAAACCAATATTAAAATAAGTACGGTTTTTAGTACTCCTGTTCTTCTCATTTTTTTTCTTTTTAAAAAAATTAATTCTTAGTCTTTCTATATTTTTATGCTATTTACTAGAGGTTCTTTTCTTATCCTTGGTTAAGGAAAGAAAAAGAGACAAAGTACAGAAGTGAACAGTAATCTTGCTATGGCACTATTTTAATCTGGGTTAGACGAGTTCTTTTATGAAAAGGATGTCAAGGATTTTATACTGTTTGATTGGATATATAAATGAGCGTTGGTAGCTCGAAGGAAGCTCGAGAGAAGGAATAAATGTACAAAAATATATGGATTCGGTTTAGGTTAGATTGCTTGGTAAGCAGCACAGAGGTCAGATAGTAAGTCATTTTAAAGTGATTTGGTCTGGCTGGGTTAATTTACTTCATTACATTTTTTACACCAGAGCTGTTTCTCTTGTAGAAAGGATTGACGTGTATAGGACGCTTGCACGTTGTTTGGATGGATGTTGAAGATAATTGGCCAATTGTAGGTTTTGGTGGTCTTTAAAAAAATCTGAATAATAAAAGTCCCATACGATCATCTGTTAGATTGTTGAACACTATATTGAGCACCCACACAACTCAGTTTTTATCAAGTTTATCCATTTCCTTCAGTTGTGTTAAAAATTGAAGCTCTAAGTATTCAGCCTGAAGAAATTTTTAGATGGATCGGGTTTTAGAGCCGTTTGAAAGGTCGAGGAGAGTGCATGGTTGAACCAAGAATGCCACAGTTGTCCAATTCTCAAAATTGTGCCAATAAATAACTCATTTCGACTCTTGTCTTAAACCTGAGCCATTTTCAAAGCACCAGTATAAAATCGAATCACGATTCATCGTGACGAACTTAATTTGTAAACCTGTTCCGACTTGTATCCGTCTACATTGTTATTATGAAACTGCTTCGGAATCTGCTAAAGTCGTAATAAACCAATCGAGCTTCTCTGGGGGAGATGTATTGGGGAAAAACCACGCTTTTGTTTATATGGCCCGATATTGTCTTCAAGGTCCTCTTTCTCTTTAAGGTAAGGACTTAGATGACTAAGCTGTCCCACTTCTTAACCTTGTGCGTCAACAAAAATTAGAGGCATCGTACGTAATATTCTTTAATTTGGGTTTTTTAATCTATCTACATTGAATTTTTATTAATTATATGTGCTGGTAGAGGATTGTTATTGCGTTTTACCTGTGTGCATTTGTCATGTTAGACTTACCTACTATTAAACTCAAGTCTTATTGAATTAGCCGAACTGTAAAACCGTTGAGTTTATAAGAAAAGAGTGTAAACTTAATTGTGTATATATTATTTATACTATAATTATATTTACTTAAATTTATCCAACGCTGCGTCGTACGAGTTGTATAAATGTATCTGACTCAATGGTCGTGACTCACCCAACATCGAATAATATTCAAATCCTGCACAATGTAAAGAATATTTTTTTGTTTCAGACTCGAAAACGGATGTAAAACGAATAATATCGAAAAACATGTAAGTACATTTAATACTGATTTGTATTGTGTGCACTAGATTTGGTTTTTGAAAATAATTACATATTTTCAATATATTTCTATGAAATCGATAAATAAACGGTTTAAAAATCAATCCTTCTTCAGCCAATCATTATAAACTGTAAAATATTCTCATTCTCGGTTTAATTTAGGACAATTTAGGACGTTTCTGTTGAGAATTTTTGACTACCATCGAAATAAAATTCTCTTTGAAATACAGGACTAGCATTGGCGGCGTTTGTGAAACATACAGCACCGTTCTGTATTTCAATATCCTTCGAAATTCTTTTACAGGGTTGAATTCATTGCGATTCGTTCTCAGTCGAAAGGTCCTTAGAAAGGCGACCTTTATCCAAGGCTGTGAGCCTGCACGAGCGCTGCATATAGGTCGCAGGAGGCAAAGCCATTGTTGTCCTTATGACGTGATAAAAATGAAAAAAATAATTAATAAATGATAGGTCTTAGAAATATACACAATCTCCTATATATAATAAATATGATTTAGATGAATTTGCAACTTTTCTTGTTAACTACAAAAAACTTGTTTTTAAGATATCTACTGTGATAATTTTCTGTTAATGGATGAAGTTATACACAAATACAGGCATATCAGTAATGTTTCAGTTTACTAATTAATAATTCGTTTCGTTTCTACCGTTTCTGAAACTTTTCCGGATTTAATTCCAAAAATTATCCCAAAGGGAGAACGTACATTGTAAAAAAATTCCTTCAAAAATTGTACCGAGGATTGGATTTCCGAATTTGCTGATTTATCGACAAGATAAATACACTATCTTCTGGGATTTTACTTGTTTTCTTTTCGTCAGAACGAATCTCCGGCGTCTTCAGCCAGGGCCAGATTCTCCAACTTTTTTTCGAACGGTTATGACAAACGATATTTTCATGCACCTATCCGTTGCATTGGTCATTAATTCAGCCAATTCTGGCTAATTCGTGCAACTATGGTGATGTTAAAAGGGGTTTTCGACAATTAACTAAGTTTAGACAGATAACAGAAATAAAATGTCCGTTCAGTTAATTGCAGAGTTCATGGTTTCTTCCGGAGTAATTAACCTGCAGTTTTGCCTTTTCTGGAAATTTTGTCTGCCAATCCATGAAGTTAGTGTCTTTCAGAGTCGGCTTCTCGTAATTTTTAACGGAACTCTTATTTTGTTGTACAGTCGAACCTGGATAAGTGAAAACGCTGAAGACCAAGACCTCAGTTGGCACTTATAGAGGTTTTTCACTTACCCAGTTTTTCGTTTACCATGGTTCTGAGTAGTTTGTCTTATCCAGGTTGAAAATAAAAACAACGCATTTCACTGTTTTCCATGTATTGTATGTTACCCCAACGTACATACACAATGTTACATGTAATACATATTTATAGGTCAATGGTTAAACAGGTATTAAAAGGTCAAATGAATTAGGTACATGTACATGAGTCGATTTGGCTTGAAGAAATCGGGGATCGTGGTTTGGTTTTCAGTGTCTGTCTTGATCACCATTCTTTGAAGATCAAGAAGTAGCCAATGGAAAACCGTTGGAGTTGCCTTAAACTGTGTCAACTGCTTGAAGTGCTTGCCTTTTCGAAACCGGTGGTTACAGCTGGCTTGTCGTATTCGCAGGGAGGAAAATGATTTTTACATACTTCAGCTCAGGCATTTGTGTATGAGCGGTGTAGTTGTCAAGAAACATCAAAAACTCTTGCGGTTTGCTAGTTTCATATATGTGTCCAATTTGTTCGGCCATTTCAGGAAGTTTTCACGGGTCGTCCAATCTTTGTGATCACTGTAGTATTCCGTTGAAAGAGTTTTAACATTTTTAAAACACTTCGGTTTTTTTGAACTGCCTTTTATCAAAAGCGGAAGCTTCTCAGTCCCACTCTATTTACATATACAGAACCGTGACTCTCTCCTTACTTTCCTCCGTGGCACTGAGCATCTTTGAAAGCAAAAGTGGAGTTTGGGAGGCATCCAAAGAACAACCCTGTCTCATCTGCGTGGAATACATCATCCCACGAATAATCAGCAATGTGGGTAGATCCTTCGCGTGGATTTCACTTAAGGAGGTCAGGATTTGTCACTTTTCCAGGGTTTGACCCCAAAAGAGTGACTGGACCACAACACTTCTGTCACTTATCCAGGCTGTAATGTACTAAAATTTGAAATTAGAATACAGAACAAAATAGTGCGGATAATTTTTTGTTGTTGTCCATCCTGATTTTGTGGAACTAATTAGATGATGGGTAGGTAAACGTGACATCTTAAAAGTTACTGTAAAATTTCCTCTGTCCTGTTCCTAAAAATTTTGTAATTTTGTTGTTTCCTATCATTTTATCTGCCTGTTATCACTGTTTTGCATTGTCAAACGCGTTCAGATTTTCAACGTCTTCAGTGGCGTTACTAAATATCGCATTAGTAAAAACACTTTCCTTCATTATGGTCCTATATTTTCATAACACAATTGACACTGTCCATTGATTGTTTTGAGAGAAGAACTAAACTTCAGAGTTTTCCTATTTTGTGTTTACAGTATTCTTATGGTTTTGATATACATCTCTCTGTGGGTTAATTTGTTACCATAATCAAAATTATGATATCTTTTTATGTCTGGTGATGAACCTATAGTTTCGTTTGCCTAGTTGAGGTGTTCGCCACCATTAACCCTCGTCAGACACTCACAGAGCCCCTATTTCCATACCTTCACAATTGTAGGTTGTCCGTGCGAATTCAGGTAATGAGAAAAAGGCCCTATCGTCCTAACAGCCAGTTGTCCTCAAGCCGCCAAAGCGAACAGTTGTCTTCCAGTGCATACTAGAACTTATTATGCTATTTTTTGTGATGTCTTATTATGGTGATGATCTTGGTGATTTTATGTTTTTATTCGTTCAATATTTTAACACCCTATGGATGTAAAAGGAACAACAGACAAAGGAAAAGGAAAATGTTCTAAGACGTTTGGTATATTGCAAGACCTCTCAATAGCTGGGAGTGGAACATTAATTGACGGATATAAATTCAGTACATTTGGAACGAAGGGATTTCCTCAGGAGAGTAGAATGAAAAAATACCAGTTGGGTCAGGCCATTTCGTAAAGACAGGCGTTTCAGACGCCTCGACGACGCCCCACTTTCGGCGATAGTAGCGTTCGAAGGACGATGTTTTGTTGAGAATGTTATACCGATACCAGTGTTCAATTTCGACAATTCCAGCCCAAGGATCTGAAACATTCCCTGATTCGAATGAAATTACCGTGAATACTTACTGACCTAACGTACACCGATATTATTGGGTGATCTCTGAATGTTCACTCACCCAGAGGTGCCACTCACCCAGAGGTGCTCTCTATTCCTCAGGGCAGGTTGAACTCACTTCTCGCTAATAACTTACTTTTACTCATCGTACATCAAACACTAAACCAAGAGTACTCGATATCGAGGTTGAACCCAGACCATCATCATAATAATAAAATATTTTGAACTGAATCGACAATTGGTTAAAATTCAGATTACCGTTGTAAGTTTTGGCTTTTTCCTTTGGTGGTTGAACCGAGTCGTTTTGAGGCTCACAAGTCTGGCGCTTGATGATTGATCAACATACAATGTTTACACGGTTTAAAAGGATATCAACAAAGTGGTCGGTTTCCGAGGTGTAACAACGTCTTTGAAACGTAGAAAAAGTCGATTCACTCTGGAAATCGTACAACGAAAAAGTCGTTTTGCACGGTTTTCGGATAAGAGGCAGCTTTTTATTAGTAATTCGGGGATAAAAAGTCACCGAGGAAAACGGGTAAAAATGAACCAAGGACTTTCATCTAGGATCTCGATTCGATTCAGAAAAAAGTGAAAATCAATCACACCTGGAAAAAAGTCGCCGGATCGATCAGGATCAGGCTTTCTAAACCCGGCAAGATGGAAAATGGAATTATCATAAAAGACAATGCATTCTTTAAAAATGTTCAATAGCTTCCAGAAAAAGCCGTCAGAACACAATAAATATATTGGAGATTTTCCTTTTAAACAAATCTTTGAAGAATGTCTCATGGCAAAGAAATTCTTAAGGCAAACGTTCCGGTGAAAAATCAGTTGCAATATGCTGCAAAATACACAATTATAATCGCCAGAAAAAAAACGAGTGCTACGATGGATCAATGATGATACGAAAATCAACTTCTTAAGGTTCAGCTAATTTACAAGTTGTTTCTAAATCATCAAGATTTCTAGATCAAAATTACCTTGATGACCTTGCTCGGAGATTATGAGGAGTATAATCAGAGATCCTAGCAGCACTGAATATGGAACTGTGGAACAGACTGAAATGCAAAGGCATGTTAAAAAATAAATCTCCAGTAATCCCAGCTAGATGAAAAACCTCCATCTAATGGTCGGTCTCATAATTTGTATAACTTGTTATTGCGACCTATTAGCCAGTGAGGTAACAAAATCATCATTTCTCGTAGGCCCGGCGGTCAATCCAGCGAGAAGTGTTTACCGGAATATTCAGCCCAAATTATGTATGATTAATCAAACTGAAACCTTGAACTTGTTGACGTGCGACTAGAACCAGCAGCGAAATTTAGAAACGCTTATCTACTATCTATACACTATGCACAGCAGTTTATTCGCGAGTGTAAAATCATTTTCGTAAAAACACTTTCAGCATGATTCATATTATTATTATTTATTACCTGCAGTGACAATTTAATAAGTTGCTCATTAATCGCGAAGAGGTAACTTTTACGAAGGAAAGGAACTGAGTTGAAAACAATCAAATAATAGAAATAAGGAAACGGAAGAATTCGAGTTTAGTTTTTTTATTCATATGCCGTCTAAAGGTAATGGCTCCAAGGCGTTATACAAGCGGAAAGTTCTTAGTTCAACTAATTATTGTCATTATCAGTAACCTTTGTTAATTAATCCATTTAACACAAAATACGTTGTTGCGCTGTTCTGACACAATTGGGCATGTTAAGAGAATT